ATTCATTCTGTACCCCGGTCCTTCCTCTAGTTTTTAAATTCCCTCCTCCACCCCCATCTACCAAATTACTTCTGACCTATTGTTTGCTCATTTATTCGACAAGTATTTATTGAATGTCTACTTCAATAGACTAGGTACCATGTGAGGTCCTGGGGAACAGACACTATTCTCTTGGAACTCAGAATGCAATGAGATATATTAGATATATCAAACATAAAATTACATAAATGCTTATTAAATTACAATTTGTATAAGTGGTTGGAGAACTAGAGGGAATAGTGAGGGTGAATATGGCAGAGAAGGCTTCTCTGGAGAAATGATACAGAAGCTGAGTCCCGAAGGATGACTAGGAACTGGCTAGCTTGTGTGGGTGTGTTTGTGCACGTGCGTGTGTGTAGAACGTATCACAGAGGGAATTGAATATGCAAAGGCACAGAGGCAGAGTTTGCATTCTTCTAGGAGGGAAATGAAAACGAGGCTGGGATGCTGTGGAAGGAGTGGAGATGTAAGTAGGTGTCTAGCAGGTCATGCCAAAGGTTTGGGACTGCCAGTGGGTGTGACTAGGGGCTGCTTAAAAGGGGAGAGGACTTCTCTTTCATATTCCCAGGACAGCCAATCACAGTCTTCTTCCCTCAATCAAAGTAGTTTAACAGTGATGCAGTTTCCTCCATTCTACAATGAAAACATTGGAGAACAAGCTTACTTTCTGGACAAAGAAAGGTTCTTGTTTTTGCTTTGTAGGAATTTTGTAGGCATTGAATGTTTTCTTCCCTGGCTGCAAAATGCATTTTCTCTCTTGGGAATGGGGCATCCAGGTCTTAATGTGTTTACCTTCATAACAATAGATTACTTACAGTTGGCTAATTCCTTTTGTTTCCCACCAGAAAGGAAAAAAAAAAGATTAATTATATAGTGAGCGTTGGGTGGTCTTCAGGCCTGTAAAGGAGGTTTCCCATTAACAATGGTGCCATTTACTGATATGGGAAAGAGTAGTAGAAGAAGAGCCTTGGAGAAAGAAATCCAAAGGTTTGGTTTTTTTTTTTCTTTTTTGACATCCTAAATTTGATATGTGTGTTAGACATCTAAGTGGAGATGCCAAGTAGGCAGTTAGTGATGTAAGCCAGCAGGCCAGAGCTAAAGATATAAATTTGGGAACCATTAGCATATAAATCATATTAAGACAATGGAAATGGTTGACATCATGTAAGAACATGTAGATGGAGAAGTGAAAGGGGCCCAGGTTTGAAGCTTAGCTCCAGTCTTTATGGGTCCTGCAGAGGAGAAAGAGGTTCAGAAGGAAACTGAGAAGCAGCTGGTAAAGAAGGAGGAAAATGCGGGAGGATGTGGCATCACAGAAGCCAACAGAAGAGAGTGTGACACTGAGAATAAATATGGAGGTTGTTTAAAAGGTTTAAGGAAATATAAAAATCAAGAACTCTATATTTTATTACCTGACCTATAGTGAAGTGTCAGCTTAGTTTTTCTTATAAGCTTTTTTTCTCACTCACTTCTTAGATATTCATGGACACATGTCTAGTTCCCATTTTAGTAGTGATCCTCTCCAGTGCTGTCCAGTCTCAGGGTGGATTCTTGTAGACGGACTGCTCTAGATAGATTATCATCCCTTCCATGACATGATCTTTAATTTTCTGGCTGGTTTTTGGCATCCTAGATGTTGAAAACATTTCTCTACGTGCCCTGATTTCACAGATTTTTCCTTCTCACAGATTTTTCCTTCTCCCTTTTTGAAGGAAGTCTTCTTTTTGTTACTTGATCCCCTTGGTTTGGAAAGCATTCTTTTACCTACCCAAAGAGATTTCCTCTGAGCTTGATGCCATCTTGCATGGAATGGCAGTAACCTTCTTCTCTTTCCTTGATGCCTCCACGACTCTGTTCCTAGAAGTCCTTCCTTCTTCCTGATCAAATTTTCTCAGTCCTGTCCTATTCCACTGACTGATAATATAATTGATAGCCAGTATGTGAGATTAATTTAACTTTGATGAATTTTGTGTAGCTCATCTATTGTTTGCAGCTACTATTTCGTCTATTCCCTATTCAAGCTCGCCCACCCCTTCACACTGAATCTTGAGGTTTTAAGAGCTGGTCTCTATCACATAGTTTCCAGCACATGGGCTCCCCCCAACAGTCCTGGCCTGTTTAAAATTTTGCATTTAACTTTAAAAATAGATTTAAGATTTAAGAAGAATTTTATTGGTTTAAAATCACAAAACAATACGCTATTACTGTAGCTATTTAAATAATTCGGAAATATATAAAGGAAATAGTGGGATACAAAAGTTGGAGTATCTCACGGAGGAGACAGGTAAAAAAGTTTGTCAAAGGTGATAGCAAAGGGGCTCCCAAGACAATGGCTGTGCATCAGGCATAGAAAATAACCAGCTCAGGATGGAGTAGGAGGTCAGATGCTCCAGTAGGGCTGCCTCTAGAAGAACATAAAGCTGATAAATTATTTAACAGATTTAACTAGGTGGAAAATTATATTGAAAATCGCTTTTACAGAGCTAATGGAGGACATGGGAATATAGATGTTTAATGAAAATAAAGCAAAGAGGAAAATAAGGCAATTAACTCCAAGAAAAACTAAAAATTGTACAAGAGGGGAAATGTAATTATAGTCCCTTCTTGGCTCAGTAACCAACAGCATTTTACAGGGGCGTAATGATGAAAGCATTTGAATATGTATTCAGCCAAAACTGAGATGTCTCCATATTAGGAGGATGGAATAGGGAAAGAATGAATCTAAACAGGTAAGAAGTCAATAGATAACGTGTGTGTGTGTGTGTGTGTGTGTGTAGAAGGGGGAGTATGTGAGAGGCGAATATAAAACAAGAGACTAGTTAGCTGTTATATACATTTTATCTTTTTAAAAAGATTTTATTTATTTATTTGAGAGAGAGAACGTCCACGAGCAGGGGGGCAAAGGAGGAGGGGCAGAGGGGGAGAGAGAAGCAGACTCCCCACTGAGCAGGGAGCCCCATGCAGGGCTCATCCCAGGACTCTGGGATCATGACCCAAGCTGAAGGCAGACGCTTAACTGACTGAGTCACCCAGGAGCTCCCTTGTTATATGCACTTTAAAGCACTATTTGACTTTGAACTATTTGTAGATAAAACTGATAAATTAATCAAAAGCAAAAAAAAATGTAGCACAACTATATGTTCTAACACTGGAGAGTTGCTTAAGATATATTCTTTTTTAAAAGATTTTTTAAAATTTTGCGGTGCCTGGGTGGCTCAGTCGGTTAAGTGACTGACTCAAGTCATGATCTCTCGGAGTCTAGGAATTGAGCCTTGTGTCAGGCTCTGTGCTCAGCAGGGAGTCTGCTGGAAATGGTCTCCCTCTCCTTCTCCCTCTGCTCTTCCCCTGCTCACACAACACACTCTCTCTCTAAAATAAATAAAATCTTAAAAAAAAAAGTTTTAAGAAAAATTTTAAGTAATCTCCACACTCAGTGTGGGGCTGGAACCCACAACTCTGAGATCAAGAGTTGAAGGTTTCACCGACTGAGCCAGCCACAGGCCCCTTAAGAGATATTCTTAAGCAAAAAAAAAAAAAAAAAAAAAAAAAAAATTCTAAAAAATATTTCATTCTGGTAAAAAAGTTGTTTTTTAATAGGGAACCATTTGTGGTAGTTATCTTGGGGATTATAGGGGATTTTTGTTTGTGGAATGTTTGAATTCCACATAATGAGCATGTATTTATTTTTGTGATCAGAAAAGACACATTGAAAAAAGATGTATTAGAGTCATATCAGCTAGATGGTGGAATAAGAGGGCCCAGCCCTTGCCCTCCCACAGGAAGATGGATTTAACAGCCATTCGTGGACAAATATACTTTTACGAGAGTTCCAGGGTCTAGTTGAGAGGTCTTAGCACCCCAGAGGAGCACAAAATCTGAGAACAGCCACATTGCTAAGGGTGAGAACAGTTTGACTTTACTTACATCACCTACTCCCCAGGCTGGCACAGCTCAAGGCTTAGAGAGACTCCCTCAGTCTGTTGTTCCTCCCACAGGAGACACAGAAAGTGAAATGAGTGTCCTGCTTCCCCAGCCTTTACAAACGGGCCTGAGAGACTTGCTCCTGTTCCCCAGAATGCTTAGGGTGTTTGCCTTTCTGCCTCACTGAGGGGCAGCTAAGGACAAAGAAAAGGGGCTGGGGCTCACAGCAACTGACACGTGGATCTCCAAAACCATCCCATGGACCCTGCCAATCAGCTGGCCCACTGGTGGACCCCAGCAGCTGGCCTGGGTCCGCCCCTGCAGATGGCGCCCCATTGCCCCGCGTTCATGCATGCCCTACAAACAGCACAGGAACCCAGAAGCTGGCTTGGCTCTGCAGGATTGGGAGAAGGCACATAACCCCGGACTGCTCCTTCGGCAGGGAAGGAGAATAATGAAGCTTACAGCCATTATCCTGGCATGTCTGCGTACTGCTCTGGGGAAGTTGGACTGGTGACTCAGCACTTAGCCTGGCTCTGCAGAGTAGGGAGAAAGGGCATGCAATTTCAGTCATGCATGAGGAATAAGTCCCAGAGATGCACAGTGCATCATAGTGCCTATCATTAACAATATTGTATTGTATACCTAAAAATCTGCCGATAGGATAGGTCTTAAGTGTTCCTATCACACAAAAAACTAAAAATTAAAAAAAAGAGAGGGGTTAGAGGAAACATCTTGTGGTGCCAGGTATGTTTATAGTACTGATTGTGGTCATGGTTTCACAAATGTATACTTATCTCCAAACTCATTAAGTTGTGTGCATTAAGTACAGGCAGCTTTTTGTATGTCGATCATACCTCAATAAAGTGTTGAAAAACAATTTGTTTAAAGATCTCAAACTCACACAAAAAAATCAGAGAACTCTTCCCTGGGGATAAAAGAATGAAATTTTGAAATCTGAGCAGAGATAAAAGGTAGGAAGTGATGTGGAACCAGGTGACAGAGGATGCATCCTTCCTCCTTTCTTGTGCTGAGGGTTTGTGAGAAGATTCTGTTGGTTTGGGAGGAATGCAACGTCATAATGCCACAGTGATGCTCACACTTACCGAGCTCTCTCATGTGCTATGCCCCACGCAAAGGGCTGCAGGCACAGCGTCTTTAATTCTCACAAAACTCCACTACATGTTCATTTATTTATTAAAAAGTATTTGTTGAACATTTTCTATGTGCTAGATGCTCCGGATACAGAGATAAAATCGTCATGGTCCCTGTTCCTGGAGAGTGTACAGTAGAATAGGAGAAACAGACATTAAATACCAATAAATATTTAACGGCACAATGTAAATGACATGGAAGGTGTGACAGAATAACAGGGGGATCCACTTCAGTTACAGTGGTCTGAAGGTCTTTCTTGGAGAATGACATATGTGCATTGGGACCTGTAGAGTAGGGAGGAACCAGGCAGGCAGAGAAGGGTCTTGAGGCAGATGTGAGCAAACTCTCTCCTCTGATGGAGGGGCTGAAAAAGAATCAGAGAAGCCAAATCAGAGAGGGGTGGGAGGGAGACATGGTGGCTGAGGCTGCAGATGGGCCAGGCCATCCAGAACCACAGAGACTCAGTTTCTTTCTGGAGTGCCTGGGATGTCTTGCAGGGTCAGTTTTAAGCAGACAAGTGAAGGATCTGGTTTATATTAAAAATATTACTCCGGCTGTCTTTTAGAGAATGGATTGGAGGGAGATAAGAACAAAAATTGGGAAAATCTGTTTGGAGCTTACTGTCGTATTCCAGGTTGGACATGATGACGGGTTAATATAGGGTGGAGGTTAAAGTTTTGGAGAGAAGTGGGTCAGTCTAAGATACGTATTTGGAGGTAGAGTCCAAAGGGCCTGGTGATGGAACAGCTGAAGTCAAGGCTAACTCCGATTCCTGGCTTGAGTAACAGGCTGATCCCCATTTTTCAGTCTAGGAGACCAGACATCAGAGGTTCCAGAACATGTCCCAGGAGGTAGGTCTAGTAAGTGATGTGTGAGGATTTGGGACAAGGCCCATCCAATTCCAGAGACAACATACATAACAAATACACTGTACTCTCTCCCAGTGAATCACAATCCTGCTCCTTTCTAAAAGGAGAGGAGTGGCTGTCTTCTGAATTATAACTCTCTGTCAAGCACAACCCCATCAGCTGCCAAAGAGAAAGTCAATGCCCAGGCTTGTTCATGGAAGCATGTTTTGGCCTGGAGCAGATTAGAAAATGTTATTTGGATCACATGCTGGAAATGATGTTGTTCCTTAGATGTCTGACGTACTTGAGCAGGTTCTAGTCCAAAGAACTGGAAGTGATAATCCTAAATATTCGAATTCTGTTGCTAGGCAGAAACCAAGCTGTGTTCTCTCCCATGAGATCAGGAGAAGCTGTGTCATTCCTGAGTTCCTTTTGAGACCTCTCAGCAATTTAGATGACGTTGTCAAGGGCAGCTGTCCTGGAAGAAATAGGTATACGCTAATGGAAAAAAGAGGAAAATGAAGTAGGTTAGTAGGGACCAGAGCCTCAGGCTACCTCTCATGGCTATAGAGAAGGTCTGGAGAGCACTAACTGGCAGATAAGGATATTGATAGCTAAGGCAAAGTTAAATTAAAAATTGAATTAAAAAAATCTCATTAAATTCAAGTACGTTGAAAACTTAGTTATGGGTGGTGATCCTAAAATACAAGATAACTTCTTGGATATGTTTTGGTGATGTCCTGAGGCTTTCTATATCCTGCTGGTATTTGTGCATCTATAGAATGGCCCCTTTACTTGTACTTTATTTGTAAAGTTACAAGTCTGGGGAGAGAGGTAAGATGTGAGAACAGGGGACAATCACGGGCTTACCTCTTTGTACTGATGAACTGTGGAATAAATGGTGGAGAAATCACTGCTTTTCACAGGTGTTAGGATATTTGTTTGCTGTAAAAAATAATCATACATTTGGCTCACACGGACGAAGAGATATTCATGCGTAGATATATTCTGGGGGAAGACAATGCGATATAGAAGGATGATGTCAAAGTTCTTCAGGAGGAAAAGGCTAGAGACTGTGTAGCCAGAGGAGCTGGAGACAAACACCACTAGCTCTCCAACCTGAGAAGTTTAGTGACATTTCCTGAGGCCCACACGGAAGCACAACACCCCAGCAAACCAGTGGCTCAAGACCCAGACAGGGACAGAGGGGCGACCTTGTTGGCAGGTGGTGTGAAGAAAAGGAAGCATTGTTTCCTGCATCCGACTCTACTCTCCTTCCTCCATTTTAAGAACTGACTTCTATACTAGAAGTGTACAGAAGTATTGGATCTTTTGTCTTAGATCTTTACTAGCTATGACTGGAGATATTGCCTGCTTCAAGTTTGTCCCTTGACTCGAATTGCCTCGTTCTCATGCCATCGCGTTCTCCTCATACCTGGGGAACTGATAAGTAGGAGGAACACCCAGTCTCAAGAATGGTTCTACTTGGAATACAAAGTACAGCAACAACAGCAGAAGTCCCCCGTGTTCATAAGTTTGACATTTAAAACTAATTAAGGAATATTTAGGTTATTTATCAAAACCTCTGGAACTCTCCAAAGTATAATTTTTGCTAAAGAAGAAGTTAGCAAATTTGCTGGAGACTAATTTATTTGTTTGTTGAGGGTGATTCATCTAGTCTTCAAAAGGGAACTGGAAAGGCAATAGAAACATTTGAACAACTAAGAATACCCCTTCCTGTTACCTCTCTTCATGGAGCCTACCTTGTAAGTAACTGCGAGGGGCTGTGTGAAGGGACATTCACTTGGGGAATCTAAGATTTCTAGCTGGATCGTTGCTTCCATGAGTTGGTAAATGCTGAGTTATCTTGACTTACTTTTCAGAAGATGTATGGTATTATCTAGAAATGTTCACCTGCAGGTGCTTTACTTTGGGGGTGGTGGGAAATTGCTGATGTGTGGCAGAGGAGTTCCTGGTGGCTGACCAAGGCCATCTGTTATGTTGCGGGGGGGAAGGGAGGGTTGAAGGCTGTTCATGCCTTTACTGTCTTCTACTCTTGCAAATCCTTGCCCCACTTCCCCTCTTGAGAGACTGCTTCTGAGTTCCCCCATTTCCACTACATCCAGGGTGAGAAATCCCCTGCTACAGAATTGTCTGCTCTGGAAACTCTCAGACTTACATGAGAGTCTGTTCCATTCAGCAAGTATTTACTGCACATTGTGCTCAGGGAAGAGGGAAGAAGACGTAATTTTCACTTCAGGTAGCTTGTAATTAAGCTGAAAAGGGACAAGACTTACTGATGCATCACGCAGTTAGAGGACCATGTAAAGAAGGGTATGAGCAAACACACCACGGGGCTTGAGCCCTGGGGGCTAGCTATGTCCCACATACAACATCCTAGCTTCTGCCACTGCCCCTCCTCTCCTCAAAGGTGTGTGTCACTGGATTAGTCAGATGATTGTGGTGACAAGTTTGTGAATAAAGACTATAAAAATCATACCAATGATGGAGTATAAAGCTGAAAGGACTCACCCTGTTTGGATGAGTGACACAAGCATACACGGTGTTCCCTGGAGAGACGGAGACATAATCTAAGTTCCTTATGGTCTCTGCTGTTAACACAGGAAGGCACGGTCAGTGTCCTGGTCTCCTGGGACCTTGGCCTACACCAGGGCACTTTTTGGCTCCAAAGAGGCAGTTGTTCAAGGCAATCCCCTTCCCTAGGGTTCATTCATTTTTGACAGTCTTTGAAGTTCTGGGTTGAACCAGAACCTTCTCAGCCATGTACTCTATTTCTGACCTCATCACTCGGGGGTGTGTGGTCTAGAGGTATCCTAAAGCTTCAGAGTCTCCCTCTGGATTTACATTGGGCCAGGGAGCTCCCGAGACCAAATAGCACTGCCTGCACAAGGGCTAGAGAACCTTGTTGGCAAGCGTAATGGAGCCAAATTATGTCACATATATAATATTATTAAACTTCTCATATTATATTATAAATGATTATACTATAGATGGTTATACTATGGATGATTATACTCTAGATTTATATTATGTTATATTATATTATATTATATTATATTATATTATATTATATTATAGATGAGAAACTGGAGGCTCAGAAATTTCAATTAACTTGGCACAAAGTCAAACAGGAAGTGATGGAACAGGAACTTGGATGCCTGCCTTCTGACTCTGAACCTCATGTTCATCTTCTACACACCATGTCGTTTATTTCTCACCCATGAAGTGAGACTCACAACCAGTCTGAAGCCAGAGCCTGTGTTCCTGTCTCTAAATCATACTTTCTTTTTGGACTGGGTCTACTCAATGTTCAGGTCTTGGCTGAAAGAGTGATGGGGTCAGGAAGTTTGTCTTTGGACCTTTGATGCTCTAAACCTGTCCCTGCCCTGGAGTTGTTGGTTGATAATGAACAGGCCATGAACCTTTTGCTGGCTCCCAGTTTCTCATCAGCAGGGTGGGAAATGACCCTGATCTCACTCCAAGAAACTGGGTGAGTGACTGGTTTGCATGCTTGTAAGGGACCCGTTAGGTCCCAGAGGGGACAGACATGCATAGTTACAGGTCGTCTCCTTTTGCACCATCTGGTCCATCTGAGTAATGACATTCAGACCCCCTCCTCTCTCATTATCCAGCCCTCTCCAGCCCTTTTCCTCCTCCATTAGGTTCTCCCCTTCTGTTTTATGATTGGGAGCTAAGAGTCTGCAAGCTCACCAGGACTCTGGGTTTGTGGAGTAGAAAAATGAAAGATGCCTGAAAAATAAAATCGGGGAAATTGAGATTTGTGAGTGTAGTGAAAGTGGCTCCCACACCCTACCCCACACCCACAGGTGTCTCTCTAGAGGATATGGGGGGCGGTGCTGAAGGGGAAGGGCAGTCAGGCCTTGAGGCTTGGTCATGCATTTTCCAGTAGGACCCACCCTCCTTGGGAAATTAGCAGGTGTGTGGTCACATCCCAGGGGTTGTCCCAGTGGACCATCCTCCCTCCCTTTACCTGTCTTCCACAAACAATCTTTTTTCCTCCAAACAAGTAACCCCACAGTGATGACTATACATATCAAAGTAACCACAACCACAATTATAATCCATTTGGTATCAGGGTGATTTTTCATATTCAAAACACCTGAAAAAAGAAAAAAGAAGTTGCACTTGAAGCAGGTAGTGCTTTCCTTAGAGCCTCCACTGAGCCTCTTCTAGGCCACCTTTGGGGGCTGGCTGGGCCCTGGCTCTGGGTAGATTTTCTGAGAGTGGGAGTCCATGTGGCAGACAGGACAGGAGCATGGTAGAGCCAGAATGGGGAGCAGTTCTGACTCCCCAAGGACTTTGCTCCTGGGCTCTGAGTGGGCTGGAGGAAGGGTTGGGGGAGGGAGGGAGAGAGAGGGAGAGGGAGGAGAGGCCTCTGGAGGTAGTGAGAGGCACAGAGCTGCAGGAGTGTCTGTCCTCTCCCAGAAGGGTTTGGCTGCCTCCCACTGGGCCACTGTTCTGGGGAATCACTTTGGGCAGGAGGGACACACCACACCCCACAGCTGCTCAAGGCTCTCAGAGGGACCTGAGACAGACTGTTACCTTCGCAGAGACTCTGGGTGGAGACAGAGAAGGATATATTGCTGACAGTATTCTCAGCTACGCAGGTGAACTTCTGTTCACTGGAATTCCTGGGGTCCCAGGAAATAGTGAGGTTTGCTTCATTTATAAACGTGTTTCCTACAACCTGCCACCTTAAGAAGGTGTCATTTGAATTCTCTACAGAGCAGGTCAGGTGGATCTCACAGGTCCCAATCTCAGACAGCCACGTGTGATTGGCAATTTGTAAGTTCCTCAGTCGTCCTGCATGCAGAGAGAAGACCTGAACTAAGAACAAACGCCTTGGCTCAGCACTCTGAAAAATATCATTCCCGCCACAGAATGTTTCTGTATTCCACCCAACACTCTACTGTGTGTTATGGTATGTGTCGTCTGTAACTAAGTCGGCCCCTATTGCCTAATTGATGGCACCAAGGTCTGGGGTGGCCAAATGATGAAGGGCATCAGCATAAGACAGAGTAGCCAGAGGGAGAAGTGGTAGGGACACACCAGGGTAGCCACCACCTAGTTAGATGATTCTGGGCTGCTCGATTTACTTTCTGGACCCCAGTTTGTTCCTGGTGTCCTTTCTAGCCTTGTACACTGGCCTCGTGTAAAGACGTTTGGGAACTCAGCTGAGGGTCAACTCTACCTTAGCCAGGGCAGAAACCAGTAGATCAGACTCAAGAACCTTGTTTTCTCAACCATCAGAATCCCCTAGCTGGAATAGAAGATAAAAGCTTAACGTCCTTGAGGAACTGTATTTCTCACAAATCTGCAGGAATCCTGGGCCTCATTGTATCAGATGCTGGTTCCCATGATGAAAAAGAGACTCTGATATGGAATGCCAGCAAGTCAGAAAGGGAAATGTTGAGAACTGAAAAACCAGGGAAAGGAGTGAAACTGAAGGAGCAAGCAAAGAAGTACAATACATTCAGGCATGTAAGAGAACATCTGCTGTAGAAATTCCTGAGAGCAGAGACCAGAAAATACTGGCTATTAAGATGTCAGTAGCTTTGAATCAACGGGGACATGGGAGTGGTACAGAAAAGGCCGCTGACCTGGACTTGGCCTGAGGGTAACAGTGGCCAATGGAGAACTGAATGACTCCCACTGTTGGTGGGAAGAGATTGAGGGATGCTCTAAGCTTTGTTAATAGACTAGCACGTGGGACATATGTTGACAGAAAGGAGATTTCGTGTAATGGCAAGTGTTGGATTTGGAGTTAGGAAGACCTGGGTTAGACTCATGGCTTTGTCACTGGTTACATGACCACGGGTACGTTTTTAATCTCTGCAAGCCTCAGTTTCCTTATCTGTAAACCTGGGCAATAATACCAACCTCTTAGGGAATTATGAGGATTAACTGAGACAATGCCTAGTGCAGCAATGGCAAATATTTGGCATGAATGCCACATTCCGTCAACCTGTGTCCATGGCTGACCTCAAAAATCTATCTTGTTGCCTTTTTCCACTTAGTGAGTATAAAACTGCCTACGTGACATTTCCACTTGGATATAATGTGTATCTCAAACTCAACATGTTCAAAAGGATTCCTGTTTTTCTCTCTCAAGCCTGCTCAGTGCATAGCCTTCAACACCCTCGTTGATAATCGCCTTTCCAGACACTCAGGCCAAAAGCCCTGGAGCTGACTGACTTACCTCTTCATCTTATACCATATCAGGATATCCTGGTGACTTTACCTCCAAAATATATCCAGGGTCCAACCCCTTCTCCTTACCTCTACTGCTACCACCCTTGGGCAAAGCAGCAGCATCTCTTGCTTGGATTGTCACAGTGGCCTAATCGGTAATTGACTTCGACTACTGTCCCCTGGAGCCTATTCTTAACAGAGCAGTCAAAGGGATGCGTTAAGCAAGTCAGTCAAATCATATTACTGCTCTACAAAACCCTCTGATGGTTCTCAGTCTCACAGAGTAGAACGCAAAGTCCCTGTGATGGCTCTCAGAGCCTTACCAGATGTGGCCCCTATTTCTTTACTGACCTTGTTTCCTATTACTCTCCCCTCACTCTGCTCCTTGGTGTTGGACCTCCTTGGTGCTCTTTGAGCATGCTGGGCACAGGGAATGCCTATGCTGGATGGCTCTTCTTTCAAATATCTGCGTGGCTCACTCCCTCACCTCCAAGAGGTCTTGGCTCCCAAATGTTATTTACTCAGTGAGGCCTATTATGACCACCCCATTTAGAACTCACCCCTGTTCCCTGGCACTCTTGATACCAAAAGGCCCTGAGAAGGGATTGGCATTGAACCTGGGGAGTATGATTATTGCAGAAGAAGTCATGCTTGGTCTTCTGAAGAATGGCAGAAGAACATTGTCTCAACAAGTATGATGGAGCCTGATATGGGGTCTATTCTCAGACTTTTGACTGGATGTCTCTCTTCTCTCCAGTGTCCTCGCTGTGCCTTGATGATCCTGGTACACTGAGTGATCCTGCCTGTAGTGGGTTGAATGATGACACCCCCCACCCCTCGGCCAAAAGATATCCCCATGTCCTAATTCCCAGAATCTTATTTGGAAAAGGGTCTTTGCCGATGTAATTAAGTGAGATGAGGAGATGATTCTGGATTATCTGGGTGGGCCCCAAATCCAATGACAAGTGTCCTTGTAAGAAGAAAGCAGATATTTGAGACAGAAGAGGAGATCACACAGGGAAAGGAGGAGGCAGAGACTGGCGTGATGCTATCATAGACCAACAAACACCAAGGAATGCCAACAGCACCCAGAAGCTGGAAGATTGCCCTCTAGGGCCTCCAGAGGGAATGCAGCCCTGCCCACACCTTGCTTTTGGACATTTGGCCTCTGGAATTGTGAGAGAATAAAATTTCTGTTGTTTTAAGCCATCAAATTTGTGGTGTTTTGTTTTGGAGGCCTCCAGACACTAATGAACTGCCCCAGGGCGATTCTGCCCCTTTGCTCGGAATTCCTGTTGCAGACTTTTCTAAACAATCTTTCTTTCCCTTCATATTTACCTGTTCTGTGTCCTATTCTTTTAGGGACATGACTCTGACCAATCTAACATGGTAAATCCACCAAATATTCAGGGGATTCTAGAGGTTCACACGTAACCTATTTGTGGTGACATTTTATTTTAACTTAAGTGCTTTTTTTGGATTCCAAGTGTTAACTCAAAGGACTCTGGGTGAATTTTAGATACCATGGATTCTGGAGTAGATAAGAATTATAGAATCTTGGTGGCCTTTAAAGTTGCCAATTTAATGCTTGAATCTCCTGTACAACATTCCCACCAAGGAATTATCTTAAAGCCATTCATGGCATCTCTGAACATCACTGATTGCTAGAAGGATTTTTTTTTTTTTTCTAATACTGACTCAGAAGCTGTCTCATGGTTTCCATAATTTTATGTTGAGGACATGAGCCATCTGGAAAAAGTAGTGTTAGAAATTAAATAATGTTGAGTGGCTCAGTTGGTTAAGCATCTGCCTTCTGCTCAGGTCATGATCCGAGGGTCCTGAGATCGAGTCCCACAACGGGCTCCCTGCTGAGCAGGGAGCTTCTCCCTCTCCCTCTGCCTCTCACCCATGCTTGTGCTCTTTCTCTCTCTGACAAATAAATAAAATCTTTATAAAAAAGAAGTTAAATAACCTTGATAGAAAAGATCTTTCTTATTATCAGCTCATCCTTACAGAGCACTTTCTAGGTAGAGTTCTGTCCTGTACACTGATCACTCCATGGGGTCAGACTGGCCTTTGTGTAAAGGGAGGTCTCATGTCAGGTACATGTCACTCTCCCACTTACTGTCTCCATGACCGTAGGCAGGTTGCTGGGACTGACCCGAGGCCTTGGGAGTAAGGGTGGTACCTGCCTCATGGAGCTCTTGTGAAGAATATACTACAGATACAGGGAATGCACAAGGAAACAGAGTCATAGCGACTTCACCTCTGTTCCTTCCAGTACATTTCAGGTCAAGAGGGAATATTTTAGTGTGTGAGCGAGTGTGATGTGATTTGAGGCCAGGAGTCGCAAGACTTATGTTCTATTCTCTGCTCTGCCACTAACTGGCCGAGCCATCGACTTGCTTTTCTGCCAGACCTCAGTCTGACCGCGAATGCCATGTTCTTAACCACTAGGCTACACTTGCTGTCACATAGGATTTGACATCTGTAACACCTTTCAGTCCATACACAATTAAACCCCACGCTTTGACTCACTGAAGACCTGCAGAGTGTAGTAGGAAAACTCTGTGGAGGTCTGTGTGGTTATCTGGGCACAGTAAAGTCCTGCATCTGCCGTTGCCAAGTTGCTGAGTTGTAAGGAGTAGTTCTCCATCAGTTGCAGTCGATCTTTCCGTTTTGGATCAGTCACCAAGATCCGCGAATCCGGAGCAGCTTTTGGCAATATGAAGTGGATAGATTTTCCATTGTGAAGCCAGGTGATGGACTCAATATCCTGATGTACAGGAAGCTTCAGGGAAAGAGTTACCGACTCCCCCAGAACCCCATTCACTGTCAGTGGGTTTGAGCCGTCTTGTGAAGCTGTGTTCCCTGTAAGCACAGAAGGGAAACAGCTATAACCATCCCCCTCTGCCCACTCCCTGCTTCCCACACCCTTTCCCCTAACTCTGCCCGTCTGTTAGAGCCTTCTGATACTGAAGCCCAGAGATAGGAGGAAGAGAGACAGGGGTTAGGAGAAGTGTTGAGATGGACAATCACAGAGGTTCCAACCCAACAAAATGTGTGGCGTTCTTGGGTAATGGGTCATTGGCCCAGATGGTTCTGGCCCAGTCCACCCTCCCACACTTGCCGGTCACTCCTGGGTCATGGCCACAATACCTGACTCCAGCTTCTGAGTTCTCTGGGCATAAGGTAGAGGGGAACAGGGAACTGCATCCACTCCCTGGCTTAGGCTCCAAAAACCACAAGTCTTCGCTGATGAAGTTTAGTGAAAGCTCAACACTTACTGATTACCTACTACGCTCAACATAGTAGTTTTGTGGGGTTTAGAGAACTGAGAATAAGAATTTACAGCTCTTCTTATTCATTATTTCCTTTGATGTTGTTATAATTCTAGGAGGCAGCTAGGATGAATATTACTATCTCCATTTATAGATAAAAGAACTGAGGCATAGAAGTTTAATTCATTTTCCCAGGGTTGTCCAGCTAAAGAATACGAGTCAGGATTCAAACCCAACTCTTCTGACTTCAGCTACTTTGTGCTCTTCTTATGATAGCAGAAGATATCTTTTCTATTCTCAAAAAGATTATAGTCTAGTTGAGGAGATAAAACTGATAAATATAAAAGTAATAAATATAAAGAGCGCCTGGGTGGTTCAGTTGGTTAAGCGTCTGACTGTTGATTTTGGCTCAGGTCATGATCTCAGAGTCATGGGATCGAACCCCACATCAGGCTCTGTGCTCAGCAGGCAGTCTGCTTGAGGATTCTCTCCCTCTGCCTCTGCCTCTGCTCCTTGCCCTGCTCACACACACTCTCTCTATATATCTAAAATAAATAAATAAGGCTTTTTAAAAAAAGTAATAAATATAATTTCAAAGGGACAGATAATGGCGATATTCTCATGAGCTTATCTCAGGGCCATTAATGTTTGAGCAAAAGAGGTGAAATTGTCACAATGATTCTTTAAAAAGATGCTTCCTTAGCATCCTTTGCAAATACTTAGCACTTACCATACCATTTTGTAGTCCTATTAACTCGTTTGTCTAACTGACCATGTCTTAATTATCTTTGTATCTCAGCATTGTGCCCGACATGAAGTAGGATCTGGAAATGTTTGAGTGAATCAGTGAAGAAGTAATTGCAGCCATGACCCCAGCCCTGTCCAGATCTCTTACTTCTCAGGAGAGGATCTGAGCAGGGAGGAAATATCTCTTGAGATCCTGACACTCAGCTAGCTCCTGGGTGAGCTCATGTTTGCTCTCTCCTTCCTGGACTGTGGAAGCTGGGCACAGACACACCGCAAGCAATAGCCCTCTGTGCCACATCTTTCCCATCAGGAGTTTAATGTGCCCTTATTTGTCGTCTTAATCCTTCTACCCTCTAGGAACCACATGGGTGAATATCATAAGCAAAATCTTGAGCAGAGATTTATTTTGCTTTTATTTTTATAACTGATTCCATTTATTGAAAGTTTAAAAACAGGCAAAACAAATCTGCTGCTAGAAGTCACTACAGTGGTCACCTTTGAGAAGGAGGGAGAGAGCAGGTAGGAGGGAGCATAAATGGGGAATTCTGGGGTGCTGCTAATGTCTTGACCTGTGTCTGGATACACAGATTTAGTCATTTTATGATAATTCATTGAGTTCACACTTAGGATTTGTACAGTTTTCTCGCTGTGTGTTATATTTCCTTTCTTTTTTAAAATTTAAATTCAATTAATTGACATATAGTGTATTATTAGTTTCAGAGGTAGAGTTTAGTGATTCATCAGTTGCATATAACACCCAGTGCTCATTACATCAAGTGCCCTCCTTAATGCCCATCATCCAGTTAGCCCATTCCCCACCCACCTCCCCTCCAGAAACGCTCAGTTTGTTTCCTAGAGTTAAGAGTCTTATAGTTTGTCTCCTTCTCTGACTTTGTCTTATTTTACTTTCCCCCCCTTCCCTTATGATCATCTGTTTTGTTTCTTAAATTCCACATATGAATGAAATCATTTGATAATTGTTTTTCTCTGAGTGACTTATTTCCCTTATCACAAAACCCTCTAGCTCCACCCACGTCATTGCAAATGGTAAGATTTCATTTTTTGATGGCTGAGTAATTTTCCATCGTGTATATATACCACATCTTCTTTATCCATTCATCTGTCAATGGACACCTTGCAGAAGAATGAAATTGGACCATTTTCTTACACTATACACAAAAATAAACTCAAAATGGATAAAAGACCTAAATGTGAGACAAGAATCCATCAAAATCCTAGAGGAGAATACAGGCAGCAACCTCTTCAACCTCAGCTACAGCAATTTCTTGCTAGACATGTCTTCAAAGGCAAGGGTAACAAAAGCAAAAATGACATATTGGGACTTCATCAAGATAAAAAGCTTTTGCACAGCAAAGGAAACAGTTGACAAAACCAAAAGACAACCCACAGAATGGGAGAAGATATTTGCAAGTGTCTTATCAGATAAAGGGCTAGTATCCAAAATCTGTAAAGAACTTATCAAACTCAACACCCAAAAAACAAATAATCTAGTCAAAAAATGGGCAGAAGACATGAACAGACATTTCCCCAAAGAAGACATCCAAATGGGCCAACAGACCCATGAAAAGATGCTCAACATCATTCGCCATCAGGGATATACAAATCAAAATCACAATGAGATACCACCTCACACCAGTCAGAATGGTTAAAATGAACAAGTCAGGACATGACAGATGTTGGCAAGGATGCAGAGAAAGGGGAACCCTCCTACACTGTTGGTGGGAATGCAAGCTCGTGCAGCCACTCTGGAAAACAATATGGAGGTTCCTCAAAAAGTTAAAAATAGAACTACCCTATGACCCAGGGTATTTATCCTAGGTATTCGTACTCCTAGGTATTTATCCAAAAGATACAAATCGTACTCCTAGGTATTTATCCAAAGGATACCAACATAGTGATTCAAAGGGGCACCTGCATCCTAATGTTTATAGCAGCAATGTCCACAATACCCAAAATATGGAAAGAGTCACTGTGTGTTATATTTCAGTTAAAAATGTTAGAGCAACAACAAAAACCAAGCCAAACCAAAACAGTTACAATGGCTTATAAGGACCAAAATGATTTGCTCATTTTTATCTCTCTGACCTAATTTCCCCTTACTCTCTCCAGACTGGTTTGCTTTGCTCGAACTATGCTGGCCTGGCTATTTCTTGAATAGACTGGGGCTTGTATACTTGCAGTTCCCTCTGTCTGGAAGCATTTCTCCCAGGTGTGCATGTGGCTCATTTTTTCATCTCCAAAAATATTTAATGCACAGATTCCCTCTCAGAGAGGATCACTCTTCCCTCATCACCAACACTCATCCTTATACATTCAGCTGCCCTTTTTTGAAATTTAAATTCAGTTTAGTTCCCATATACTGTATTATTAGTTTCAGGGGTAGAATTTAGTGATTTATCAGTTGCATATAACACCCAGTGCTCATTACATCAAGTGCCCTCCTTAATGTCTGTCACCCAGTTAACCCATCCCCCACCCACCGCCCCTCCAGCAACTTTCAGTTTGTTTCCTAGAGTTATGAGTCTCTTACGGTTTGTCTCCCTCGCTGATTTTGTCTTATTTTATTTTTCCCTCCCTTCCCCCATGATCATCTGTTTTGTTTCTTAAATTCCACATATGAATGAAATCGTATGATATTTGTCTTTCTCTGACTGACTTATTTCCCTTAGCATAATACCCTCTAGTTTCATCCACATCATTGCAAATGGCAAGATTTCATTGTTTTTGATGGCTGAGTTATAATAGTCCATGTATATATTTTTTATATATATATAATATTCCATATATATACCATATCTTACTATATATAATGTTACACACACACACACACACACACACCATATCTTCTTTATCCACTCATCTGTCGATGGACATCTGGGCTCTTTCCACAGTTTGGCTATTGTGGACATTGCTGCTATAAACATTGGGTGCATGTGCTCCTTCTGATCACCACATTTGTATCTTTGGGGTAAATAGGCAGTAGTGCAATTGCTGGGTCATAGGGTAGCTCTATTTTTAACTTTTTGAGGAACCTCCATACTGTTTTCCAGAGTGGCTGCACCAGCTTGCATTCCGACCCTTGTACATTCAGCTGCCTTTGAATTTATTTTTCTCCATGATGCTTACCATCTAGCATACTTTATAGTTTGAATTTTTTTTTTAATTCTCTCTCCCTTCCACTAGAATGTAAGCTCCATGAGAGCAAAGAAATTTGTGTCTTTTTCATTGTTGTGATCACTCTCAAACAATGCTTGGCACATTGTAGGCACGTACTATTCATCCAATGAGTATTTGATGAGGACACTTCATTTTTTCTCTTTGAGGTTCTCTGTTCAGGATATTAAGGAACAGTTTCTCTTTTGTAAGGAGTCTTGGCATACCCTGGGGCCCAAGGACTTCCCAGGAACTGTTGCCTCCCTGCCTAGCACATTCCTTGAAGTCTCCTTTGTTTTTATAGATTGCAATTATGCATTTAACAAGTAATTCTTTCTACTATTTGCTTAGTTCTATGTTAATTCAGTGAATGAAGCCTTAGAAATCATAGCATTCAGACCATATGTCTTAGATCCCTTTTATGAACCAACTTCCAGGCTGAAGATTGGAAACGGGAATAGGAAATGCTGGTCCTCTGGGCCCACCATGTGGAAGAGGAGCCCAGCAGGTAAGGGAGTAGTTTTGGGGCAGGGAACTAGCCCTTGAACTAGGATGGGGCTCACCTCTGCATTGCCTTGTACCTAGTGCACTCAATACTAAGTCCTTCTTTCTTTTTGTTGTAATTATGAGATTGTTTTCCTCTCTTTTCCAGAATCTTGAAGATAGGGA